TCTGCTGAAAATTGTTAGTCCCAGCTGAAAACGGAGGCATCTGTCACCCAAGAATCAAAGACATCTAGTGACATCCAGCTCTTGTTCCATACTGGCCTTGGAAACAGGAAGGGTTACCTACAGTTCCCACAAGGAGCAAGTTGGACCAGTGCATGCTCTGATGTTTGGATGTGTCAAAGAAAGATGTATGCTCAGCTGTGTTGGACATGGTTTGAGTGCTACAGAGAACATCACAGGTTCCAAGTATTATTAATGAGGAAAACAATATGTACTGTCAACGTTTGCCACATGAAGTTAACATGAAAAAAAACCCACTCCAGAGAACAAATGAAATTTATTGGATTAGTTTCTTGTTCAAGCTCTCCTGATAAATAGCACTGAACTCAACACCACATCGATTAGTTGGTTCAAGACAAACACTGATCAGATTGCCTTGGCAAGTATATATAGCAGTACAAAAGCACAATCATCCATGTCTATTCAGAGTAGCAAGGATTCACTATACTTTCATTTCCCTTCCCTCTATCTTTCCCGGGCTAGACAGCATGTCTGCACTATTTAAATGCCCTATGTTAAACGCTTTCCCCCTCCTCCTTCTCTTGCATTTTGCTAATAGACACACTCAAGCCCCTCTTCTAAAGAAACAGAACCAAACTGTGCAATTGCTGCAGAGCCTCAGAAGGCCCCACGTTTCCATGCAAGCTGACTCAGGTCCTGGTTTTCTCCTAAACGTTCAGCACTCATCTGCTACCTCAAATACGCAACCTAGCATAACAGGCAGCTCTGCGTGAGAAACCGTTTTGGAGAAACACTCTGCAATAAACAGCATCTCACGGTAAAGAGAATGGGTGGGGAATCACAGCAGATAGGAAGGGGATCCTGATAAAAGTCAGAAAAGGCTAAAAACCACAGTACTCAATCATTACTATGTGTCTGTCATCTTCGCTTTGTTTCTGATCATCTCAAATGATGTCAGAGAGAAAGGATCTTACACCACTCTGTGCTTTTTCACTAAACACAACTTTTTAGCAACTTGGTTTAGAAGGAGTTTTGTCTCCTTCAGACTTTGTCCTTTTTAATTTTAAACAAGGTATTTTTGCAGAGCCACAAATTCTGAGAGACCTTCAGAAAATTCTGATTTCAGTGATTCTCCCGAAGTCTCTGTCCCTTCTTGGATCTGTCTTTAGTTTGAGCTAAATTATAGTTACCAGAAGAAAAATCTGCCCTAATAACTCATTCCTTACCCAATTACTCAGTTTTGTCTTCCTTCCTTCTGCTGTATTACAATGCAATCATCACCAAAACCAAATAGATCAATCTAGGATATACAGAAAGACTTTTTTTTTCTCCCTCCAATCTGATCAATAGCGTTACAAACATCTTGTTCTATCAGGAGACATAACTTTTCTGACAGACACCACCACCATGATGGTCTACCAGCGCTGCCACTTCACAGAGTGGCAGGGAAGTCATCTCAGTGCTGTGTACCACACCGACCACATCCTTCCAAAACCTGGCGTGTATCTAAAATGCTTACAGACAACAGTTAATTCTGCTATCTATATAACACACACCATTTAACTTAAGCCTGAATTTTATTTATTTTCTCAAAAAAGGATAATATTACACTAGCAAAATTCATCTTTCAGTCACTTGCTTTATCATGTTTTTCTTTTAGAAAATGATGGGGTGTTGCTTATGAATATCTTTTTTGGTAGGCATGTTAAAGGACTAAAAAGTATTGTTTGAGTTACGCCTTGCACTAGATGAGAAGCAGAATACTGGTTTCTTGTTTAAATGCAAGCTATGACTCATCCTGGGCAGAGATAAACTGAAACACATACCCATTAAATAAAAAACAAACAATTTTCCAACATGAGGATTAATGACAGATAATAACTATAAATTAACTTTAATCTTTTATAAATCAAACAAAGCCCCTTATATGAATGTCACTGCAATCTCTTCAGATAAAAAACCCCAAACAAATCAAAGCAGAAAGAGAAGTCACTTAAATATTACAGTTAATATTCGGTACCAAATCCTTAGCAGAACCAATGGAGTGTTCATGAAATATTTCAAGAATAAGAAAAGGAGTGAAGCTTAAAACATCGCTTTTTAAAAAAATGTATATTTTTTTAGTCACTTTTTGATATCAAAGGGATACAAGATTCTTAATCCTGATACATTGAAACATGATCAGCGCTGCAATATTGAGTCTGAGTTAAATTGTATATTCAAAAAGGAGGAGGAGACCATTTTGTTTTTCTAGTATTCTCTTGCTACTGCTTGGAAGAAACTCTGTAATTGTTGAATGGGTTAAAACAAAATTTAACTGAACATAAGAAAGCTGCTGTTTGCAGACAAGAGGGGGAAAAACCAGAGTCAGAGACCTAATAGTGGACAATTTTGAAAATTATAGTGTGTGTCAATAATGGAGATAACAGTGACGTTCAAAAGGAATAATCTCAAATAATAGGGAAAATGAGCACCTGCCAGCCACAAAGCCATTAGTATCAGGGCTTTTATCTTTTCAACAGTTAAGTCTGAAGATACTGACAAACTTAACGACACAGCAAATAAAACATGGTGAAAATCTAACCAGGAAGCTATCCCCTTCACTTAGAAAACACTGCTGTGGAGTTTGAAAAGAAACGCTTCCAGTACGAGATTCACTGTCCAAATCGTTGGTAATGAGACCCTGTAGTGGCTATGCTGGGTTTGCAGATGCGTGTAGCTGATCAGGCCATAGCATCTGCATTGAAAGACAGACAATCCCAAACCAGAAGCAGCGGGCTCCTGACCAAGACCCCAGACTTAGGATTTTGCCTGTACAGATCACCCAGTGTGATCAAATGCATGCCCTGCCCAGAAGGATGAAAACCAAAGGCTTGTAAATCCATGTCTGAGACACAGACCTGGAATACAGTGCCTTGGAATGGGAAACCCTGGAGGAAAGACCATGCTGAGAAGGCTAATGGTTAGGAGTCTTCACCCTGGAGCAGGTGGGGACTAGGAAGTGTAGCTGAGATGGAAGGAGAGGAAGAGAGAGATGGTATTACACCAACTGGGAATGGGAAGACAAATTCTGTAGCAATCAAACAGCCTGTCAACATTCAGCAAAAGGTAAGGTGGCATAAAGGGGAGTGCAGGTAATAACACTCTTATCACTAGTAACATATATAGCAATGTGCTGGACAGTAGTCAATCCTCATATCCCCACCCCAGGCAGTATTACTGTCCTCAGTTAAAGACAGGGAATCAAGGCAGAAACTGCCTCAGCTCACACAGATAGCTAGTATCAGGCATATCCTATACCCATCACTACTTGCCAGTCCTTAGCAGGACAGTAAGCATGTAATGCTAGCTGCTGAGACCTCACCCACAGAGAGTTTGACACTTCACTGCCTGACCCACAAGTCCGAGCGTAGAAAAAGATGGTCACAGATCCACACAAACTTGGCCAATGTGAGAGGACCAGGTTGGTACAGGAAAAGATGGAGACAGCTCTGCTCTAAAACTGTACTGAGGGCAAGCAGGGTTTGCAGTAACAATCAGATATGCAAATAAGCACATTGAAAATTAATGATGGCTTACTGTTGTCATGGAGAAACAAGCACCCTCCATTATGAGTCAGACCCAAGCACTGCATTTTCTTTCCCTCATTGGTAAATAAAACTGTACAGAGCACTGGAAAACCCAGGAGCCAACACTTCTCAACACAGCTCAACCTGGGACTGGAAAGGTTAAGAGACTTGGGGAGCAACATAACCCAAATAAAAAAACCTCCCTGCATCACCCCAGAAAGACAGGACCATGACAACTCTGTAGATCCTCAAAGCTACCAGGAGTTAGAAGCACAGTCTGGAAGAAAACACCCACACCGTGCAAAGGGCAAGTCGCTTCCAAGCACTGCTGCTGCTGGAGGGAGGTAGATGTGGAGGAAACTGAGGCCAACAGGATGCTTGAGGTACTTGGCTACAATTCCCTTGAAGCTACATGGGAAGATCTTGTCTGAATGGAAATACACACTTGGCTTGAAGCTTCTGTGTATCTTTGACCATCCTTATAGTCCTCCCATCCTTTGTTAAATGATGGCTGCTAAGAGAGAAGAGGAGGCAATCAACCTAGACTCCTTTCCCACCCCGGGGGCTTCTTCATAGGAGCAGCTGGCCAGAGCACTGCCTTTGTTCCAGCAGCCACAAAAACCACAGACACCTCCCTCACCCCCCCTAAAACCCCACAGAAGAGCCAAGATAAGTTTATAATGGCAACCCTGACACAACCTTAACTATAGCATCCTGAATGGAAGGCGATAATCTGATCTGTGTGTGAACTAGCTCCCCTTGTCTCAATGGTATTTATCTTACTTTAACTCCTGTTACAAAAGGGTTGAGTCATATAGCAGAGCTAGCCAAGTAATGAAACTGCAAGGCTTGCTAAAACTTCAGATTCAAGGATAAACAGGCGCAATCCTAAAACAGGTTAGAAGAGAGAGTCCCCACAGCAGCACTGGTAGCCAGACCTCTGAGCCTCTGGACAACGGTATTTTCTGCGCAGCAGAGATTATCATAGCCCAGTGGAGGGGTGGGAGGGAGATGGTGTAGAGCACAGGGCTCTGCCCTTCAGTTCATGGTAACACTGGTAACACGTATTACCCAGGGCCCACGAAACCTGATCCCGTAGCAACCTCATGTATGGAAAGTGCCCCAATCAGATTTCACTGTGTCAGGAGAAGAACAGTATTTACTCTGCATACAGATTAGTCACAAAACTGGGTCACTTCTTGCCTTTTCAGAGAAGGAAAAAAACGAACCAAAACCAAGGATTCTTTTTTCAGATCTTTTTGCATCTTTCCCCCTGACTTTTAAAATCATATGATGCAGCATGGTCATTCACAGCTGTCTAAGCTGATCAAATGGCGCCTGCATATGTAAGGGTAAAGCACATTACACTCACTGGGCTCGCATTTCTTCGAATTCAGCTCATTAGCTACTTACCGGTTCTTCTCTAGTTCATTGTGCGTAGACCTGGAAGATAAACAAAAATTTGGATTAGCCACCTTTGACCTCTCAGCACCAAAGTTCAATTGCTACAAGCCGTACACATCCCCAGCAGCATATCGCAGTGTAAAGCCAACCAACCACATACATTAAAATCTATAGCTATAACCCCAGCCTCCCTGCTGACAATGGATTCCTCCCCTCCTAAGTCTGTATTTACCTGCTATGTGCAAAGATGGTACTCTTACTGGAGCTACAGGAAGTGTTCCCTAGAGACTTAAATGCACACAAAATCCGAAAGAGGGGCAACAGTTAGAAAAGGGACCAGTCAGCCATTTCCAGACTACTGGCTCTGCCATCAACTCAGTACAGGGATGCAGTTACATTTCTTTGCGCTTTAGTTTCTTCGACCACCCTGTAAAAATAGTAGTATCATCTGCTAACACATGAGCTCATGGAGTATTAATTTATGCACATCAAATACATGGGAACCTTCCAGCAGAATTGGCTCTGTAAGGACAAACCCTGGAGCCCTTCAGTAGTCATGTTAGATTTAGCAAACGTAGTAGAACTCCAGATATGGCCAGCATTTGGGCACAGAACAGGATGGCCAGTATTGCCATGTTTGCAAACATCAGCGGTGCTGAGTAGCACTTGGAGGATGCCTGGAAACCCCTTGGGGATTGAAAGAGCACCACTTGCAGCAAAGCAAGTGACCCATGAAGTGGCACTGTGACCACTTGACAAAGGAGGGGGCTTTGTCTTTATACCTGCCTGCCACGCCAAGCACACTGCCAGCACTCTTTAATTTAGAGCTCGCAGCTTGAAAATGAGACCAACTACAAACAAAAGGGAAACAGGCAGGTTCATTCTCCTCGGCTCTGTGATGACAGCACAAGTGGCAAAAAAAAAGGCTTAAATCCTTTCAGGATTTCTAATCTAATGATGTTATTAGTAACCCAGGTAAGGTTGTTGAGGATTATTTAAAAAGGATAGCCATTTATCCAACATTTCTCTTTAACAGAAGGTCACCTTAAAATAAGAGTAAAAGGAGCCCAAGAGCTTAATAAAAAGGATCTATTTTCTGTAATTTGGCATCACATTTCTTCCGGAGCTCTGAGAAGATTATCCTCTATCCCCCATCTGGAGAATCCCACAGAGAATTCTACAATTAGGGAACTGAATGGAGAATGTGCTCCAAGGGAAACCCTGTCATAATTAAATGCTTCTCCAAAAAAAGGGAGGAGGAGCACTTAACAGGTGTTAGAACCTCATTGAAGATGACGAATAAACCACGAACGTCTGTGAAAAACAAGGTAAATGAGTCTTAGCTAGCTGTGGCTGAGGGCGATGGGTGGCCAGAGGAAGAACAAAACTTTACCATATGTCTGTGCAAGGTACCCTGCGCAGCAGGATATGGAATACCCTAAAGGCAAGGTGCACTATAGCCAAACTCCTGAAGTGGAGGAAACTCCCAAAGCAAATCCTTCCCTCCCAAAAAGAGGGGATTGCTTAAGTCTGGTTCCCAGGAATCAGAGACATGAACATAAAATTTAGTCCAGAAAAATCTCCCAAATCAAACCCACATCCCCCACAGAGTCTAAACCAGCAAAATCCATTTGTCCCAGCAACCTGGATGCAAATTAACCCACCAGGGCTGAGCTGAGGCCCTTTAAAACCACTGCCTGTATGTTCTTTGGAACACGCTTATTGTTCTTATTTACTGTATGTTCCTGCAGGAGACTTTGCACTCTTCTTAGCTATGACATTAACAATTATAAAGCCATAGACATGCAATAGCTTGAATTCCTATATTATATCGAGCCAATTATAAAGGCCAGCACTGAAAGAACAAAGTTTGACCCACTGCTGTGAACAAAATTAAAACAGCAGGTTCTCCCTACTCCTCTCACACAGGAGACTATTACCTATCTGCCTTCTGATGAACAAGACAACTGAGAGGGGTTACAGGCTTTTCACCAAGTCAGGAGATTAATGCTGTGACTTTTAACCATACCAGTGGCAAAGAGAAAAACAAACCCCAGCC